TCACACCCATTGGTGCCTACAATACAAAACACATTCATTGAGACAATCGGTGGTATATAAGCGGTGATAAGCGGACAATAACCTGAGGCATGGGTGGCATCATTTGCATCGGTAGTAATCCTCCTGTAAATGAGCATAAATTCAATGAATGAGACAATAAGGGAGTGGTAGTGATGGGTATACCCATGGGTTGCATGGATTGGATGTGATGGTAGGCCTGAGGTGTGAGCTGTGATCCCATGTGAGCCATAGACGCGGCCATCGCTGCCATCAATGGGTTATTCGGCGCCCGAAAAGTCATTTCAAACAATCAATTGATTGCAAAAACTCTTGTATTGATTACCAAAACCACAAAACCATGAAATATGCGTTCATTTAATGAAACGTTTGTTTCAATTGTTTGTAAAATTAAATCAAAAACAAAATCACTTTTTAAATTAAAAACTTATTTTAAAGTTACTCAAAAGTGAAAAACATAAGTTTTAAGTTAATATTAAACGGATATTTATATACAAACAGATATTAATAGTGCACAAAATAATTTATTTAATGATTTAATTAACATTATTTAGTCTTTAATTCACTAATAAATTACTAATTAATTTATTATTTAATTTAATTTCACTTTTTATTCAATGATATAAACAATTGGACGCCATTTTGGGAATTAAATAAATTACTAAATTAATTGTAATAAAAGTCTTTAATTCACTAATAAATTACTAATTAATTTATTATTTAATTTAATTTCACTTTTTATTCAATGATATAAACAATTGGACGCCATTTTGGGCCACAAAACTGGACACAAATTACGTTCACATAAATTACGTCAGTTTTAAACAACTTTATTAACTTTATATAAGTTGATCTCTACCGTTTGTAACGTAAGAGAAAGAGTGACGTTATTATAAACTTAATAAAGTTGTAATTTATGTCAAAACCATAGATTTGGTACTATTTATTACAAAAGCATATACAAAACAGATACAGTATAACATAATTATAATTACAAACTAAATAACTTTAAATCAATGACAAATCATCGGGAATAAAATTAAGCGAAAAACTGTGGTGATCATTAACAGGTATATTAATAATGTTAAATTTTTGTAGAGCTGGAGATTCAAAGTTTTTCACAACACCTCTAATGTGTTTTCCTATTTTATAAGGTGTTATACTTTTAAATGAACTTTTAATTAAATCTTTATATTGTGATGGTTTGATACCAAATGAATGTTTGCGAACATAGTGTTTACTTAACCCCCAGACGGGTTCAATAGGGTTAAATTCGCACATATAGGGGGCCAAACGTAAACCATAATGACCATGTTCTTTCAACATATTGTCAAAATAATATTCAACAGGTTTTTTATTATTACGAACTGTTGATAATAATTCACTTTTATATTTATAATTAATATTATAATTAATTTTATTAAATGTTAGCCAATTTATTATTTCATTAATAGTACCATTAACTGGTGTCCTATTGTATATACGTGAGTGTACTTTTGCGTTGTCATAAATTACGATTGCATTTGGATAGTGTTTATTTAAATTGGGAATCAATTGATTTTTAGCCCAATTTTCAAAAGTTTCGGCAGTAATTGTGGTATTTTTTAAAATTAACTCACAATTAGGCACAAAACCATCACTACTTATTGCATGTATAACATTATAGCGAACACCACAACCAATTGTTTTTCCAATTTTACGTTGTTTATTGGTGTCCATAGGTCTCAACACTTTAGGGTTAGAGTCGTTCGTATGGTAAGCACTTTCGTCCAGAAATATCGTCTCTGATTTTGGCGACAAATGTTGTAATTTTAGTTTATTTGTTAAATAATTAAATAATAACTTTTGAATTCTTGGTGTTTCTGTTAATTGTTCTCTGATAAGTTTATCAGTTTTGCTATAATGATAACCCATTCGATATATTACTGTATAAAATGTTTTCAAACAACACTCTTTAAAGCTTAGTTCACATGAGGGGTCAAAATGACATTTATCGTAGACGTCAGTAATGTATGGATTGATATTACGATCATTGAAGGCACAAATAACGTCGTCTATTATCGCGTAATCAGATTCAATAAAATCCCAAATTAATTGTTTATTACGTGTTTTTTTAGGCGAAACAATATTATTAATACCAGTATTAATAATATTATCAATAATTGATTCACTAATTAAATACAATCCTGATAAATGTCTAATAATCTCTTTTTTATACTTGTATTTGTTTTCAGCCTTTATTATATTAAATTGATTAATAATACACTTTTTCATATGTTTTGACACATAATGACCACTACCAATGGTTTGCACATCACTTTTATCACTCATTTTGATTTATAATTACAATTAAATCACAGTATAATTAGTTTTTATTATAGTTAATATAAAGTTAGTTTACATTACATTATTGATTTTCAAAATTGGGTACAATTTACACAAATTTATGTTTTTAAACCTTTTAAAACAAATGACTAGTATTTAGTACTATTAAACATATGTTAATCACATTATTTACTATACTTAGTGACTATAAATGGGACTAAAATTATCACAACATGTTATCACCGGATAAGGCATTGTTTTGACTAATATTTGCCACTATTTTGTATGCATTTGTCGTATTGTTAACTTTGAAGATTTCGTACATATAGATGTTTGCTTCAGTGTATAGCTCAAGCACTTGCCTAATGTTAATGCTTAGCACAGTTAACGTTACGCTGGTTAGACAACAAGCTACGTCCATATAAAAATAATTGAATTTTTTGATTCCAAAACTAACAAAAAAGATGCTAAACATAGGGAACGTCTCATTTGCCTAAACCTAGTTTTTTGGCCTCAATTTCATAGATCAAAAGGCGCCACATTTTGACGACAAAGACCTCCGCCTCTTCGTCCAAAACCATCGCCACGTCGTCTAAAATACTTTGAGCACTACTTTTGGACTGAAGTTTATTACATATGAAGTCTAGGAGCGCCTGTTCCTCTTCGCCGATATATTCGGCTATCTTTTTGTTAATCCACGGCCTTATCCTCCGCTCCATTAATGTCTGCAAATCATTACAAAACAATTAAAATCGTAAATAAATGATTGAATGCGAGATGTCTTACATTATCGACGAGAGACCACTCGATCTCATATTTAAAGAGCTCCTCTTTAGAGGTGGGGATCTTCTCAATCAAGGCTTTGATTTGTTTGCGTTTCTCTTCAGATGACATTAGTTTATTGTCAGCGCCGGAAGACATGGTTTTAGTGGTCGGCGTTCCGCTTAAGTCACTATCAGTGTTGTCGTCCACAAGAGTAGGCAGTCGTCGCTTCTTTGCCTTCGAGAGGTCGTCGTCTTCGTTGGGATTAAACACATCAGAAACGGACAGCTTTTTGCGTTTGAGATCAGCGCCGGTTGTGTTGGCGGAGGCCTTATCAGTGACGACGGCTGTCATGTCCGTCGAGTCGGGAGTGTTAGCATTGGAGGTATGGTTGTGTGGTCTGCCGTCGCCGCTGCCATTGTTGGACACATTACTGCTATTATTAGTGGCGTTTGCAGTGACCGAAGCGTTCAGTTTCATGCCTTGAAAGCCAAAGGTTTTGACAGTAATCTCTTCTTTTGGCGTTATATCAGATCCAATGGAGAGGTCGTCGTCGCCGGCAATGGGCGCCGAACTTGTCTTCTGTCGCGCTTCGAGCATAAGAGCGCGGATGCGATCGCTGACGGCTTTGTTGTTTCGGTCGCGTTCCGTCTCACTCGACGCCAACATTCGGCGCTTCACTTCGCTCTCGGGGTCGGGATGTCCCTCATTGGCCAACTTCTCGCGCAATTCGTCCAACTCTTTCTTCTCGAGTTGTCGTTCGCTTTCATCGCTCGCTATTTCCTTCTCGCGGTCGCGAATGCGTCGCATAAAACTGCTTCCTTTGTAGTACTTCTGGTCGAAGCGGTCGTCGTCGTAGTCCTCGAGAAACTCTTTCAGTTTCCGGCGTTCGTCCTCTTCTTCCTGTCGGCGGCGCTCTTCCTTCTGCCTATCCTTCTCATAGTCTTTACACTTTCGGCCCTCTCTTTGTTCCCATTCTCGCAGTCGTCTCTGATATGAGGCCTCCTTTTCTTTCATTTGGCGCTCGAGTCGTCGCCGTTCGTACGCCTCCTCCTCGTCCTCAACGGGCGGCATATCCTTAGTCTCCGACCGCCGATCCCTCTCCCGCTCGCGTTCCCGATAGCGGTCGCGATCCCTCTCCCGTTCGCGTTCTCTTTCCCGTTCTCTCTCGCGCTCTCTTTCTCGCTCTCGTTCGCGGTCTCTATCGCTTCTATCGTTTCGATCGTTTCTCTCATTTCTTCGGGAACTCCTCTGCCGGTCTCTGTCGGCCCTATCGGGTGACCTCTCTTTAGGTCGACTCTCTTTCTTAATGTCATCGTCTCTGGGCTTTGACTCCTCTTTGCGTTTCTTTTCCTCCTCTTTCTTATCTTCAAGTTTCTAAACAAAACACAGAATTTGCAAAAATATATTAAAAACATTTATAAATCAATGCAAAGATTTAATTAACAAATATTGTCAACAAATTCATAAATATATTAAAAACAGTTTTATTGCTCACAAACGAAGGTATCATTTAACCAAACATTTTACTTTTGAGAGAGTTTTCACTCACAACACAACAGTTCTGTTCAATAGATTCAATGATAATATTATGAGTAAATTAAATGCTTAAATAGTATTTACGTTTTTGTAAAGTGTATTTCAAAGTGTTTGTGAATTGTATTGTAAATGATGTTTATATTGATAATAGAGTGGCTTTTAAGGGAAAAATAATGCATTATTGGAGAAATAAAATATAGATTACAAGAATAAAGATATATGTAATATGAATGATGTGTGAAAAGGCGTTTGTCTGCCTTACCTAAGCATTGGATCACATTTTTATTACAGTTTAGATTTGATTGGATAAGAGTTTTTGGCTGTCTATCACTTGTGTCGCTAATGTATAACATTAGAAAATAATACAATTAAACTTCGGGAGCGTTCGGACACATCAACGCTCAAACATTATTATACATCAAATTCTAATAACACATAAAATTCTTGCAAACGATTTCGAGTTCACTCGAGACTCACCACAAAATGATATTCAATTTCTTCCACAATATTCTTCCAATTCTTCACTTAATATTTAAATACAAACGAAAAGTATATTTTACTTACAGTTTAGACCCCATTTGCCAATCACTATACCATCACATTAATCAATGATTGCTCTGAAAACTCGTGTTTAACAACAATAAACAATTCAATCAAATCTCAGTTATAGTCAAACTCTAAATCTCCAAACTATTTCAAAATGCTGTCAAATCTCTATAAATAAAACATTCAATTAAACCATTTATTGTTGTTTAGAAAAAGACCCGCAAATCAATATAAAAACTATTGAGAAAAACCAGTCGTACAGTAAATTTGCAATTAAATAGATTTTCAATTTACTCACCAAATGAGTAGTCAATGTGTCGATCAAATTGTATAAATAAAAACTCAAATAAAAAACTTATGGCAAAGCATTTTACTCACCGCTCAATATCCTATCTCTGCCTCACAATCACTGAATATCTCTCTGTTTTCGGCTATTTATTAATGTCTATCTCAATGAGAGGTCAAGAGAGTCGATGTTTTCACAATCAAACACAACATTAATTCCTGGTTTTTGGGGGAATATAATAGCAATACTTATGTCATACATATGTCACACACGTCGCGGTCGAAGGTTTTTGCTTAATCTCTGCTCAGTTTCTCATTCAATATTATGATTATTATGTAAACGCATTGCAAAACACAAATTAATTCTCAATTTAATTCAATAATTCTTATAATAAAAACAACTCAAAACGTTAAGCAAAAAACTAAATCTCATTATATCTCGGATTCAAATTCTCATTTAGTTTACAAAAATAACTAATTCTTATATATTTGGGGAAATATAACCTCAAAGGTGTAAAAACAGTGTCAAAATTCAATTCATAAATACCTTATAAGTGTCACGAAATTTATCAATTTCCCGATGGATTAGCGATCGCTTATCGTCTTCTAAATCCATTTCCGATAAATTCTAATAAATATAACAAACAATAAAATAAAAATACATTCATTTAAGGCATAAAATGTGGAAATATTCAAACCTCAGGTTTAGTGGGATCTCTCTTATCGTTCTGATAGCGTCGCTGTCTTTCCTTAGAGTCGGGCTCTTTGGATAACTCGATCTCATGTTCCCGAAGAACGCTTTGCATCGCCGATAAAATACTCGAGTCTTCCTCTTTGGTCGCGTCGTCTAATTCTTGGCCAAAACAACCCTTACTTTTCATGTATTCGTCTAATTTTTCTTGGGTTTTGGGATCCACTTTCACCACCAGTTTCTTGTCGGCGATCTCAAAGTCGAGTAAGAGTCTGACGGCACGCATCGCCGACTCCTGATCGCAATACTCACAGAAACCAAATGCCTGTAGTTTGCCGTTCGCGCCCTGAACTCGCTTCCAATTGTTCACTTGACCGCATTTCTGACCACAAATATCGTAAACAAAGTTAATAACAAATCATTTCGCAAATCAAATATTGAGATTACCGATAATAGTTGTCTAATAAGCATATCGGACGCCCGTTCGGTAATATTACCCACGAATACAGTGACAGTACTGCCGGGCGCTGGTCTCGGCTTTCGGTACTGTTGTTGTGTGTCCTGATTCGCGGCCGCCATTTGTTGGAAAATCTAAATCCAATTAATAATTGGGACACAAATAAAGATAACAATTAAATGTGTGTCAAAATGGCAACAAAGATAACTCGTCTGAAGTACAGTAAAGGGAAGTCTAACCGGATTAGCGCCGGGATATACTCCCAGTAGTGATGGCGGCGCCTGCAGGTGGACACCCGGCGGAAGGGCTCCCGTTTGCGATGCGTCCAACTGTATGTTACGCACGGGTGGAGCAGATATTGTGGTCACACCCGACGGTACGGTCACACCCATTGGTGCCTACAATACAAAACACATTCGTTAAGACAATCGGTGGTATATAAGCGGTGATAAGCGGACAATAACCTGAGGCATGGGTGGCATCATTTGCATCGGTAGTAATCCTCCTGTAAATAAGCATAAATTCAATGAATGAGACAATGAGGTAGTGGTAGTGATGGCAGTGATGGTTATACCCATGGGTTGCATGGATTGGATGTGATGGTAGGCCTGAGGTGTGAGCTGTGATCCCATGTGAGCCATAGACGCGGCCATCGCTGCCATCAATGGGTTATTCGGCGCCCGAAATGTCATTTCAAACAATCAATTGATTGCAAAAACTCTTGTATTGATTACCGAAACAACAAAACCATAAAATATGCGTTCATTTAATGAAACGTTTGTTTCAATTGTTTGTAAAATTAAATCAAAAACAAAATCACTTTTTATTGAATAAAATTTCAATGAGTTTTCACTTTTTGTATTCAAAATTCAATTATAATTTGCCTATAAATATATGTTTGTCTATAATTATCACGTGTTTTATTAAATAAATTACTAAATTAATTGTAATAAA